GATCCGATGGATACAGAGCTGAAGTCTATATTAGTACTTTTGATGGAAGTTTTATTTTAGTTCTGTTTAATTTCAATGTACTTCTTCCTCTCCAACCTGTCCTTTGTGGACATCTGCTTCACCTCCACCACCATCCCAAAGATGCTGGTGAACATCCAGACTCAGACCAAGGCCATTACCTATGCAGGCTGCTTCATACAGATTTACCTTTTTATATTATTTGTTGAGTTGGACAACTTCCTCCTGGGCATGATGGCCTATGACGGGTATGTGGCCATCTGCACCGCATTGTCATCATGAACCACAGGGTCTGTGGAGTGCTGGTGCTGGCATGCTGGGTCACAAATGTCCTGAATTCCTTACTAGAAACTTTAATGGCATTGTGGCTGTCCTTCTGCACAGACCTGGAATCCCACACCTTGTGAACTGAATCAACTGGTCCTACTTGCCTGCTCTGACACTTTTCTTAATGACACAGTGATTAATTTTGCACCTTTGCTACTGGATGGAGGCCCCCTCATGGGTATCCGTTACTATTACTCCAGAATAGTGTCTTCCATGAGTGCAATCTTATCAGCTCAGGCAAAATACAAAGCATTCTCCACATGTGTGTCTCACCTCTTCGTGGTCTCCTTATTTTATAGCACCCTCCTGGGGGTGGACTTTAGTTCTGCTATGACCCAAAACTCATGCTCTACTGCCACAGCCTCGGTGATGTACACAGTGGTCACCCCCATGCTGAACCCCTTCATCTACAGTCTGAGGAATAGAGACATCAAGAGAGCTCTGAAAAAAATTCCAAGATAAAACTATAAAAGGGTCCATGTTGCTGGGTCTGAAAGATTTTTTGGATCACAGAGCTCAAAGCCTCAGGGCAAAAAATTAAAATATTTTCATCTGATTTTAGAAGTACAACTTGTTCCTTCTATTCGTTTTCTGGAGTTTCTCTTCCTTTGATTTCAACATCCCTATGAAAATTATAAAGCACACCCTGATAATCTTTCTGTTCCCTCTGAGATATGAACAGTGTTCCTCTTAACCACTTGCATACTTATTCAAACTTATTTTCAATCCTGGATTAGACATATTGGAAATTCATTTTCATCTCATGGGATGACATGCGTTTCTGAAAACCATTTCTTCTCTCATGATGGATCATATGGAGTAATTTTTCTTTTATTGATACTAAAACACACAGTCGTGCATGGTAATCCTGTGGGGGAATGCATTTGACAGTTAAGACGGCCTGTGTAATAATCCTATAATGGAGGGAATCCCACAGCATGGCTTTGCCCTTGTGGGTCCCTCATGCCTCCGCGTCCCCATCTCAGCTGCTCTTCCTGATGAGGCCGATTCTAACAGACCAGCGAGCTTCATGGCTGCGCACTGGCTTTTCTTCTCACCATTGTTATTCTTTTATCTTGCCCAGCTTGGTGTCCACAGCCTCCACCATAATCACTGGCAAAGCTTATTTTCAAACACGTCTCCACTTGAAGTCTATGTGAAAAGAAAAACTTAAAATGAAAGTTTGGTTACTTTGGTCTCAGAAGCAGAGAGGACATTAAATATGATGAGACAAACCTCTACATTACACATTGTATTGCTACGTAAAATATGTCTTTTCATCTGTCAAATACAATCACGAGATGTGGAAGGTTGGTGTTCTTGTGTCAGGGGTTTGATCATTGAGGTGGTCAGCGTTTTCTTGTTTGCACTATTGAGTCAGTGATGTGTTTTTGCTTGAAAATGTTCAGTGCTGCCTAGAAATATTAATCCTTCCATTATTCTAAGTGAAATATTCCTCCCCTTTCTGAATTTTACCACAGCAAGTGAAGGGTAGTAAATGAGCAATACCCATATCCTCCATTATGTGTGTCCTTCAGGCTCAGAATGACTTCAGTCCTCAAGATCAAAGAATGGCTCACAAGGGAGCTTGATTCCTGCCCTTCATGTGATTTCTGGCCACAGGCTCTCCTATGAACACGAAAGTTCTTTTATTGAGTCAGACTCAGAAAACCCCAATAGGGAGTCCCATTGGGTAATAAAAAACCTTATTACACCATTTGCATTGAGGACTGCTTGTTCTACAGCAATAGCTAGCCCTTGCAATAACTAAAGAGAACAGAGTTAAGGGTAATTGTAATAAACTGCCAGTTTGTTTCTTTGGTATTTGTTCTGATTTTAAAGACCATATTCACAGTTGGATGTAAAAGGTGGGGTAAAGTAGTCACAGGTTGCAAAGATGAGTACTTGGATACCTGTGGGGGGACTGTCCTTCTGTCCACTTACCCAGCAGCTCTGACCTAGAGAAGCTCATATAAACACACACACACACACACGCACACACACTCACTAACATGGTTCTCACCTTGCCTACCTGCTTGAATGGGGAACCTAGCAAACTTCTGTGAAGAGGCAGATAGTAAATGTCTTGGGCTTCACAGGCCACATGGTCTCTTATAGTGACTCAGTTCTGCCATGAGGGTGGCAGTCATCATAGATATCAAAGGAGCGGGTGTGGATGCCTCCCAACCAAACTTTACTTATGGAGACCAAAATTTGAACTTGATGCAAAACCACAGTGAGATGCACTTCACACCCCAGAATGAACATAGAGAGGCAAAGACTGCAGAATCCCCCTTGGAGGTGGAACCCAGAACTGCTGGTGTCTGGGGAGTAGAGAGGAGACTAATGGTTACCAGGGCTGGACAGGGAACAGGAACGGTAGTGAAGGTCGTCAACAGGCACAAAGTCACAGTTAGGAGGAATGCGTTCTGTTGTTCTGTTGCATTCTAGAGTGACTAAAGCTAATCAGAGTGTAATTTTTTAAATCTAGAATATTTTGGATAATCTTAGCACAAAGAAATGATATATGTTTAAGGTGACGCATGTGTCAATTACCCTAAAATGATCATTACACATTATTGACAACAGGTGTCAATAAGTAATATTAAAAGTAACATTTTAAAAAAGAAAATAAAAATATTGGTGAGAAAGGGGAGAATTTTGAATCCTCATAAATTACTGCTAGGAATGGAAAATGGTCCAGCCAGTGTGGAAAACAGTTTGGCAGTTGCTCAGAAGGTTAAACATAGAATTATCCCATCACACAGCAACTCCACCCCATCTGTGTGCTCCCCAAAATATATAAAACTGGGTCTCAAATAAATGCTTGTACACCAATGTTCATAGAACATATTTAGTGCTGAGTTGCTGAGGCTGGCTTTATACTTGCAATCTTCCTGCCTCAGCCTCCTGAGACACTGGGACAAAGACAAATTTATATGTTCTTAACTGAAAAAGAAGAATGACTGGCAGATAAATACACAGCAATCAAGGAAACTGAAATTAATTTTTTTAAAAGGAGCTAAAATTTCAAGCATTAGTTTAGGAAATATCTACCAAATTGATTATATTCAATAGTTGTTAGACCAGGGGTGAAATGGATATTCCTATATGGTAGGTACTAGAGTAAACTTACATAGATATTTTATTCAGCAATTTGGTACCTGTTATGAAAATTTAATCTGGATGTACCTAAGGCCCAGCAATCACACCTCTTTTAATCTATGTCACATTAAACAATCCCATATTCACAGAAAGCTGTTTATAAGATTTACTGCAGTATATTTGCAAGAGTGAAAAATTTCACTACATATAAGCAACCACCAATAAAGAATAACAAAATGAATAGGGTATATCTGTATAAATTTTAAAAACAGGATACACCTGTGCATGATATAGCTCCTACACAGATATTGAAAGATCTCCACTATAGCCCCCTGCCATAGGGTATAAATGCATTCTACTGTCATGTATAACTAATTAAAACGAATAAAAAATTAATTTAAAAAAACCTCTAATGCACGAAGTTGAATGGGAAAGGCAAGTTGAAATATAATCCATATGGTATTATCAAGTTAATACTTACAGTATAATATTGTATCTTTTTATAAGTGCAAGGTGAAGAGCCTGAGTTTAGGAGCAATGGTTTTAAAACATAACAGCCCCCATTGGTAATATGAGATTTTTTTTCAATAGTATATATAATTATTAATACTATTTCATTGTTACAAGAGTCGGCTTAAGGCTTATAAGGGAGAACACACATCATATCATCATATTCATAATAGGTGAGACTTCTGCCTAGCAAACTCAAATTGGGCCAGGAAGCAATACAGAATTTGGTGTAACCTGGGGATGTGGACATTCAAACTTACAATGTATGGATTTGTCATTATATTCCCCATGGCACACTACTAACTTAACAATAAAGACTGCAAAGAATAAGATGTCTACCAGGTATTTGAAAGAATACTTTAATTTTTCACAGCAATTACCCATTTTTCTCTCAGTGTGGTAATGAAAGATAAATAGAGAAAAATAATGCTAAAATTTATAAGGAACAATAGTAGTGTGAGGACCAGGTGGCTCTGCGGAAACTCCCTTCTCAGACTTTCTAAATGTGAGTGTTGGGAATGCCAAGTCTTGTCTCATGCTGGGGACACGGTGCTTTGGTGGAAGGGAAATGGTAAGACATGAGTTTACATAGACTCTTTCTATCCCTGCCCTGGAGGAGAGTCACGTGTTGGGCTGTTTGACTTCTCCTGACCCATCTACTGAGGCCCTGAGTTCATGAGCTTTGTTTTCATGTAAGTTACACAAGTAAGTCTAGGAATAGGTAATAAATAGATAAGTCTATTCATTCTGAACCAAGGTCCTTACAGGGCTAGAAGACCAGGAGAAATGATCCTTCATGCTTGAGCTTCTAATATACAGTGTCCCACCTTCCTGTCTCAGAAGATGTGAGTCACCCCCAAGGAGATCTTCAGCACAATTATTACCCAAACTAAGCAAATATTTGGCAACAAACCTCTGAGTTCTGAGAAATTCACCAGGGAACTGATCAGAGGAAGAAAGCATCCAGACTGTGATTTCCTCACTGTGGTCAACTTCGTCACGAGTCATATTTAAACTGGAAGCATTCTTAACTCCAGCCAGAACCTAAAGTCCTCCATCACTGGGCTGGCTGGTCTCGGCACCATGAGGAGCAGATGTCTAAGACTGGTCCATGGTAAGTGGAATCATGACATGTGACAGGCAAGAAAGGGAGCTAGGAGCCACCAGCAAGTCCTTTGTTTCATTTTTGACTGGTTTTGTCACTGTCCCTGTAAAGGATATCAGCTCTTTTTAAAAAAAAAAATAATAAGTTCTCAAAGGAGAAATTTATTCCTAGAAAGTTACTCTTAGTGAAAACTTTGGGACTTAGCCGGGATTTGTCATTATATTCCCCATGTGCAGCAGGGTTCTCCAGATAAATAAGACCAATAGGGCACTATACAGAAAGAGGGAAGGATGATTCTTTTAAGGATATGCTCATGCAATTGTACAGGATGAGAAGTCCAGACTATACTGGGTATGTGGCAGGAGGAGACCAGGGAAGAGGTCGAGGAATGGAGACTAGGAAAGAGGTACAGAATCCAGACTAGGAAGAGGTGGCAAAATGGAGACCAAGAAAAGGGGTCGAATGATGGAGACCCAGAAAAGAGGTGGCAGGGTGGATACCAGGGAGGAGGTGGCAGGATGGAGACCAGGGAGGAGCTGATGTTCCATCTCAGGTCCAGAAGCAGTCTGGGCCAGAACTCCGTCCTCCTCAGGGGGCCAGTCTTGGTCTCTTAGGGCCTCCATGGGTTAGATGAGCCCACACAGGAGAGGGGATCCTGCTTTACTTGCAGTCTTCACATTCAGTGGGGTCTCCTCTGATGAAGGCCTCACGGCAATGTTTAGAGCCTGACCAGCTGTCCAGGCAGCGCATTAGATAAACTGACCAAGAAGGAACCACCAATACCCCTAGACTTTAGTTTAGGGATTGAGAACCAGACTCTCCTTGACTCCTCGCCTGTCTCTGTTGAACAGCAAGAGGCTCATGTACCTAAGGCCCCATTGATTGAGAAGGGTCCCCAGGATGTGCCCCAGGAGAGGGCAGCTGCTGAGAGGCAGGAACAGCAGGAGGAGGCCCCCAGCCTGAGCCCAGCACCTGCCCACAGCACCTTCCTGTTAGGGGGTAATAGGGCACCACGGGTCCCAGGACAGGCCATGGGGCTGACAGTGGTGGTACAGATGTGGCTCTCAGGTGCTCCAACCACAGCTGCAGGCCAGGTGGCTGGTGTGGTGTGTGTCCCTGAGGAAGGGGACAGGGCCAGAGCACCTCAGAGACCAGGCAGGGGACCTGAGAGAACAGCTGGCCCTGACCCTCCCTTCCCACCTAAAGGTCAGCAATGGTGGTAAACACCCTGACACACTGGGGTTTGTTCCCACGTGACCCTAGGACGTGGGTGTCATCTTGTCCCCACTCCACAGAAAGGGAAACTGAGGCAGGGCAGTGAGGCAGCCTGCCTGTGCTCCAGGGTCTGAACCAGGGCCACCAGGCTCCAGTCCCCCACCCACAGGCCAGGAGAGCCACGGCTGGAGCCCAGAGCTTGCCAGGCTCAGGCCCCTTCCCATCACCCAGACCCTCTGGGAGGCGCCACCTGGGCTCCCTCTGAGGAGTGGACCAGGTCTGAGCCCAGGAGGGTCCACAGCCCCTGCCCTCCAGTGCATCACCTCCAGCCTCCTCTTTCTGCTGGGCCTGCTGACCCACCCTCTCTGTGTCACAGGGCTGCTGTGTGTCCTGCTGAGTCTCTCCAGAGCTGGAGCCTGGGACTTTCAGCGTGAGTGTGTGGGGAGCAGCCCCTCCACAGCCAGAGCCTGGGAGGGGCCCTGCACCCGCAGCGCAGGGAGGAGAGGCCTGGGCAGGGAGGCTCAGGGCATCTGCCCACCTCCTGGGACCTCCTCTGGGGACCACATTGCCCGCTCCCAGACTCTGACCAGTCTGTGCCCCACAGCCTGTGCCCCTTGGTGCCCTCCTAACTCCAAATGTGTCAACGCCACTGCCTGTCGCTGCAAGCCGGGGTTTGCCTCTTCGTCTGTAGAGGTCTTCACCAACTTCCTGGACACCTGTCATGGTAAAGAGGCTTGGGGGAGGGACAGAGGCACATCAGAGATTGTCTAGCAGGTGTGAGTCCCTGGGCTAGTCTCCAGCTCCAGGGGAACAAAATAGGGGAGGGGAGAGTCATAAGGCCCTGCACCCGCAGCCCAGGGGGGAGAGGCCTGAGCAGGAAGGCTCAGGGTATCTCCCCACCTCCTGGGACCTCTTCTGGGAACCACAATGCCCCCTTCCAGCCTCTGACCAACCTGTGCCCCCACAGCCTGTGCCCCTTGGTGCCCTCCTAACTCAGAATGTGTCAACGCCACTGCCTGTCGCTGCAAGCCGGGGTTTGCCTCTTCATCTGTAGAGGTCTTCACCAACCACCTGGTCACCTGTCATGGTAAAGAGGCTTGCGGGAGGGGCAGAGGCACATCAGAGACTGTCTAGCAGGTGTGAGTATCTGGGTTAGTCTCCAGCTTCAGGGGAACAAAGTAGGGGAGAGGAGAGTCATAAGGAGGGAAATGAGATCCAAAGTGTCATTTCCCAGTGTCAGTGGGGGTCATGGGTAGAGGTCAAGGGCTGAGCCTTTGACCTCAAGGCCATCATCAAAGACAGAAAAGAGAAAGGAAACAGCAAGATGGCAGAGAGACCAGGGAATTGCACAGAAGGACCTGGGCCTCAGGAGTGGGTCTCAGCCTGCCCTTAGGTCTGGGAGGGTGACACTGAGCTTGTAGCCCACACACTACCTTAGCATTGTCCCCTGGAGACAATGTCCAATTGTCCAATTGTCTCCTGGGGGTGTTAGTCAGAGGACTGTGTTGAGCAGATCAGACTGTGTGGACTTCAGGATTGGCTTGGCTCAGCATAGCTTCAGCAGGGCTTCCCAGGATTCTATGCAAAAGATACTAACTCAACATCAGACCCCAAGCTGGGGGGTCAGGTAGGGGACAGGAGTCTGTTCCCTAAGAGACCACACACCTTTGGGAGGTGACCCTTGGTCCTATTATGTTGCAGACATCAACGAATGTTTGTTGCCCCGGAAAGTGTCCTGTGGATATTTTGCTGACTGCCACAATGTGCAGGGGAGCTACTACTGCACGTGCTTCCCAGGATTTGAGCTCCGTTCTGGGGCAAAAAAATTCACTAATGCGAGTGAGAACACATGTCAAGGTAAGGCCCACCCCTCACCTCCCCCCACACATACAGTTCAGGGCACCAGAGCTGATCTAGGGACAGCGCCCAGTTATAGCCTCAGCACCTGGACTGTGAGATGGGGCAGCTGTGCGTGCACCCATCACCGGCATGAGAGGTGAGGAAGGGTCAGGGCACTCTGGGACCAGCTGCTTGGCCCCATCCTGACAGCTCTGCTTCTGACGATGGCCAGGGTGCTTATCAGGAAACCCTGTGGACATGTGAGATGTGACAACATCATTGTTGTTTTCTGTTTTAAAAAAATGCCAGGCTCCAGTGGCCTGTGCCTGTGGTCTCAGTTAGTTGGGAGGCTGAGGCAGGAGGATCACTAGAACCAGGAGTCCAACCCATCCTGGGAAATAGAGAGACCCCATCCCTAGGGGGGAAATTGGGGGAGAGAGAGAAAAGAAAAAGAAAAACACAGGAAGGAGCTCCTATCTCCTAAAGCTACAAACAAAGGTAGAGGCTGGGGTGTGACTCCGGGTAACAGCCCTTGCCTGGCATGAGCAGGGCCCTAGGCTCCCTCCCCAGCACTGCAGAAAATCAAATCCAAAACCAGAGGTAGCTTTGCTCTTGGTTCACTGTGTGACTTCAGACAAGTCACCTCACCTCTCTGTGCTGCAGTGTGTCCATCTGCAGAAGGGAAGTCCTGGGTCTGGGCCATAGCTCAGTGATAAAGCACTTGTCTAGCAGGTGCGAGTCCCTGGGTCAGTCCTCAGCTCCAGGGGAAGAAAGGGGGAGAGGGGGGGCAGTCATAAGGTGGGAAATGAGATCCAAAGTGTCATTTCCCAGTGTCAGTGGGGGTCATGGGTAAGGGTCAAGGGCTGAGCCTTTGACCTCAAGGCCATCATTAAAGACAGAAAAGAGAAAGGAAAGAGTAAGATGGCAGAGAGACCAGGGAATTGCACAGAGAGGACCTGGGCCCCAGGAGTTGGTCTCAGCCTGCCCTTAGGTCTGGGAGGGTGACACTGAGCTTGTAGCCCACACACTACCTTGGCATTGTCCCCTGGAGACAATGTCCAATTGTCCAATTGTCCTCTGGGAGTGTTAGTCAGAGGACTGTGTTGAGCAGATCAGACTGTGTGGACTTCAGGATTGGCTTGCCCCAGCATAGCCTCAGCAGTGAGTCCCAGGATTCTGTGCAAAAGATACTAACTCAACATCAGACCCCAAGCTGGGGGTCAGGTAGGGGACAGGAGTCTGTTCCCTAAGAGACCACACACCTTTGGGAGGTGACCCTTGGTCCTATTATGTTGCAGACATCAACGAATGTTTGTTGCCCCGGAAAGAGTCCTGTGGATATTTTGCTGACTGCCACAATGTGCAGGGGAGCTACTACTGCACGTGCTTCCCAGGATTTGAGCTCCGTTCTGGGGCAAAAAATTTCACTAATTTGAGTGAGAACACATGTCAAGGTAAGGCCCACCCCTCACCTCCCCCCACACATGCAGTTCAGGGCACCAGAGCTGATCTGGGGACAATGCCCAGTTATAGCCTCAGCACCTGGACTGTGAGATGGGGCAGCTGTGCATGCACCCATCACCAGCATGAGAGGCAGGGGAGGGTCAGGGCACTCTGGGACCAGCTGCTTGGCCCCATCCAGACAGCTCTGCTTCTGACAATGGCCAAGGTGCTTATCAGGAAACCCTGTGGACATGTGAGATGTGACAACATCATTGTTGTTTTCTGTTTTAAAAAAAACAGGCTCCAGTGGCCTGTGCCTGTGGTCTCAGTTAGTTGTGAGGCTGGGGCAGGAGGATCACTAGAACCCAGGAGTCCAACCCATCCTGGGAAATAGAGAGACCCCATCCCTGGGGGGGGGATGTGGGGGAGAGAGAGAAAAGAAAAAGAAAACCACAGGAAGGAGCCCATATATTCTAAAGCTACAAACAAAGGGAGAGGCTGGGGTGTGGCTCTGGGGCATAGCCCTTGCCTGGCATGAGCAGGAAAATCAAAAACAAAACCAGTGGTATCTTGGCTCTTGGTTCACTGTGGGACTTCAGACAAGTCACCTCACCTCTCTGTGCTGCAGTGTGTCCATCTGGAGAAGGGGAGTCCTGGACTGGGGCATAGCTCAGTGGTAGAGCACTTGTCTAGCAGGTGTGAGTCCCTGGGTCAGTCCCCAGCACCAGGGGAACAAAGTAGGGGAGGGGGGAGTCATCAGGAGGGAAATGAGATCCAAAGGCACTGAGCAGGTCCTGGCTCCCAGAAAGTGCTGTTAGCAATGGCTTCTGAGCTAAACAGGGCCTGGGCCAGGAGTTGTGCTCACCTGCCCTTAGGACTGGGGGGGAAGAGAAGCTTCCAGCCCACGCCCACCTCAGCACTGTCCCCTGGATCTGGATCCAGGGGTGTCAGCCAGAGGACTGGGACAGAGGTATCCTGTGACACACAGGTGCCAAGGCCCTGGTTGACACAGGTGGTGCCCACTCCAGGCCACTGTCCCACCAGCACAGAGAGGGAGGGTGGTGTGAATGCCAAGGTCAGAGGCAGGGATCAGCTCCCTGGGTCCGAAGCCTGGACTGGCCACCCGTGAGCAGCATGGGATCAGCAAAACCACTTCCTCTCTTGGAGCCCTCCTTGTACCTGCCCCCAGGAGCCTGGAGCCCCATATCCCATGAGGTGGTGGCTCTCAGTGGGTCATTACTGGGGAACCCAGGGAGCTGGGGGGGGGGGGCTGAGCCCAGGATGAGGGGGAAATGTGGGAGTTGGTGGAAGGTCCCCTGGGGGTGCTGCTGCACCTCATTCCCAGCTGTCCCCACAAGACCACACCCCACCTCGTCCCCTCCACCTATGGCACACCTCTGCAGCCATTGCTACCAGCTGGGAAAAGGGGAGGATTGCCCCATGGGGGCTGGACAGGGGCCCTTAGGGAGCATCAGCCCCTGTCCTGGCCCGTCCTGCTGTTGATCCACACAGCTCAGATGAGGGGTCCCAGCAGGGCCTCCTCAGGTGCAAAAATGGGTCCAGGGAGACCAGAAGCCCTCCCTGCCTCATCCTGACCCCAGGAATCCTCTGGGCTCCGGGAATCTTTGGCCCCTTTCTGGGACACCCAGGGCCATCTGCCATGAGCTGTCACTCACTCCTGTCTTGGGTTCTCTGAGGCTGCTGTGTTGGCCATTCAACTCAGGCCTCTGTCCTGTGGGTCCCTGTGGCACTCAAAGGGGACCTGCTTCCTGAGCATGTTCCCCTCACGTTTAGAGACCAGGAGAGATAAGAAGCCAGGAAACACCCCCAGGGCCTCAGCTGGGAGCTGCTTCCAGAAGCTTCCTCATTTCATGTCTGTGGCCATCTCTGATAAGGGGGAACTTCCTCCAGGGGTGGTGACAGCAAGGCTCCCCGGAGACAAGCTGGGCACCTTGGAAAGGCCTGTCAGTGTCCACCCACAGTTCTGAGTGCCACACTAGGAGCTGGGGGATTCCTGGGGATGGTCGAGGGTGCATTTGTGTCACTGTGAGGAAAGGCAGGTGGGACCTGCTGGGGCCTGGGCACCTGGGGCTTTTGGTTTTCTAGTTGTTTGTTTGTTTTGGTCCTGGGGACCTAACCCTGGGGCCTTACGACTAACCACATCCCTGGCCTCCTGAGTCACTGGGATTACAGCATGTGCCACCTCACCTGCTTGAGCACCTCACTTTAGTTCTTCTTCTGCTGCTCAGTGGCAGGGTTTTTAAATTGTGATGAAATCTGCATCCATAAAACTTATCATTTTAACCACGTTCCAGTATACTAGATCTGTGGCACTGAGGACATTCCTGTTACACAGGCATCTCAGTCATCCCTCTCCAGGAATATATTCCTGTTTCCTTTCTGTATTATTTAATTGACAAATAAAAATGTTGTACGTATTGATCAGGTACAGAATGATGTTTTGAAACATGCATGCACACTGGGATGGCTAAATGGAGCTGATTAGCATATGCAATGCCTCAGGTGCTAGTTTTTGTGGTAAGAACACTTCAAATCTAATCCCTTAGTGATTTTCAAGAATACAGACCATTGGCCAGACCCAGTGGTGCACACCTGGGATCCAGAAGCTCAGAAGGCTGAGGCAGGAGGATCTTAAGTTGAAAGCCAGCTTCAGCAACTTAGCAAGGCCCTATGCAATTTAGTGAGATCCTGCCTCAAAATAAAAAATAAAAAGGGCTGGGAATGCATCTCAGTATTAGAGTACACTGGGTTCAATCCCTGGTATCAAAAGTAAATAAAATGAACAATAGATCTCTTGAACTTAGCTCCTCCTACGTGAAGTTTTGGGCCTTGGATGCACAACTCTCCAACACCCCTCCTGTTGCCCCGACCCCTGGGAAACACCATGCTACCCTCCCCTTCCAGAAGTTTGACTGTTCAGGTCCCACGTGGAGGTGACACCATGTGGTATTTCTCCTTCTTTGTCTGGCTTATTTCACTTAACATATGTCCTCCATGTTCACCTCTGTTGTTGTGATTGACAGAGTTTCCCTCCTTTTTAAGGCTGAATAGCACTCCTCTGTGGGTGGGTGTTCTTATTCCCTGTTCCGTGGCTGCGTGTGTCCCCATACAGAACCACACTGTGTTGTCACTACAGCTTCACAGTAGATTCTGAGGTCAAGTCATGGGATGTGCCCAGCTTTGCTCTGTTTCTGAGCACCTGGCTTTATCCTCAGGTGTTAATGATGAGTGTCACTCTGGGAAGCCCTTGGCCATGATCTCCCACCCCCACTGCTTAGGCATCAAGGGTGACCTTCACTGCCACCTTCTCCCTGAGCGTAGACCACCTGTAGGACCCCAGTGGTTCAAAGATTCCCAGAGGGGAGGGTCCAGGGAATGGCTGGGCCTCCCTCTGCCACTCCAGGATGGAGACGAGATGTAGATCCCTTGCCAGGCCCCACCATAACACAGAATCTGAACCCACATGTCCTTGGGCTCTGCTCCAGAGAGCAGAGTGGTCCTGGGGACTTCCAGAGCAGCCCGGCCTCAGGAGGTCCACCTGGGGCCTTAGGTCTGTCCACATCTCACAGCAGAGTCAGGCTGAGCACCTGGGTCTCTTCCCTGAGAGAAAGGACAACTTTGGGAGGTGAGCCTCTGACCTATCATGTTGCATACATCACCAAATGAGGGCCATGAGAGTGCCCTGTGGAAAATCTGCAGACGGCCAGGTCATGGAGGGCACAATTGCTGCACATGCAGCCCAGGCTGTGTGCTCATTTCTGGAGCCAAGAATCCTTTATTAATTAGAGGAGAACAGCTGCAAGACCCTTCCCCCACCTCCCCATCATCAGGGTTGAGGTTGCCAGACCCTTTCCTGTGACATCTAGATGGCAGAACCCTGGTTACAGGAATGGTGCCCTGGTCTGAGACAGACAGGTGTGCATGTACCTGTCACCCAGCACAGAAGCAGGGTAGCATGAACGTCAGGGGCATCTCTGCAACTGGCTTCCTGGGCCTAAAACCTGCCTGTTGCACCTGTTAGCTGCATGTTATTAGTCAAATCACTACCTCTCTTTGAACTTGGTCTACCCATCTGTATCATTAAGGTGATCATAACAGTGCCTACCTCCTGTGTCTTCCAGGAGGATTATGAAAATTACAAGTGCCTGTAAGAGAGCCTGGAACATGGTGGGTGCTGGACTCTTCTTATGTGTTTAAAAGATGAGCACATCTGCACCCATTTAAGGAGTTGCCCAGAGGGTTTGGGTCTTCCTGGGGGCCATGTCCCTGCCACTCAGAAGAAAGCTAGTTCCACACAACTTGCTCTGGTCCTTGCCATGGTCTGGCCTGACAACGTGATTCCCAGGAGGAGTAACTTCCACGCATGAGCAGGATTCACCTCCTTCCAGGGCAAGGTGGTTAGGCAAAGAAAGCTGCTTCCAGCATCCATGGGGCCAGGTGGAATCCAGCAGTGGGTGGGCAGGAGCCAGGACCCACCCACGGAGAAGATGGTAGTGCCAAGTACACAGAGGGAAAAGGGAAGGTGCATGAATGTAGGAGGTACACAGGGCTAAACTGGGGATCAAGGGGACTCTGAGGACACAAGGTCCCTATGGGTGCACATTGTGCCATGTGTAAAACATGCTTTGGCCGGAGGATCCAGAGGGCTGTATGGAAAGACCAGGGTCCTGGGAAAGGAACAGAGGTTCTGACAGGAGACTCCCGGGGGACCTGAGCAGCAGCAAAAAACTTCCTGGGAGGACATATTTCTGCAGCCTCACAACCTGCATCAGTACAGGGCAAGCCTGGGGCACACCAGGGCTTGCTCACTCCTCGAAACACACAAGGGTGTGGGTCGCTGGGTGGCAGCACCACAGCCCAGGCAGGGCACTAATGGGAGGAAAGGGGGTGGAGATCAGATGGTGGAGAGCACTGGTCCTGGCTTCAGTGGGAACCAACCCCTTTCTCTATGTCCCCAGATATGGACGAGTGCAGCTCCGGGCAGCATAAGTGCCACCACTCCACCACCTGCACCAACACCTGGGGGAGTTACTTGTGCCAATGCCGCCCAGGCTGGGAGCCGATTCCTGGGAGTGTCAATGGCTTCTACAACAAGTTCTGCAAAGGTACCCAGCCCACCCTGACCCCAGAACCTCCCCCACCTCACACACGTGCACACCCACATGCACATGCTCATACATACCCACACACGCACATCTGCACTACTCCTAATGAACCACTGTCCGGTCCCCGCAGTCATGCCCTTCTTCACCTGGCCTCTGCCCCCTGGAGTCCACAGCCAGGTGAGCGCCCCAGCCAGGACAGGGAGGTGGGAATCCCTGGGGCAGCACCCTGTCCACCCCTTGGCCATGAGTTTCCCACCCACCTGTGACTCCTCATCTCACCTTCTCAGAGACTCTCCCACTTCTTTGACAAAGTCAACAATCTGCACAGGGATTTAAAGTCAGCCATGGCCAAGGACACCATCCAGGTAAGGGCAGGATCCAGGGGAAGTAGATGGAGACCTCCCACAGAAGGAGGAGGGCAGCTGTGGTCTGGGGAAAGGGGGACAGGCCCAAGCACAGTGGAGTCCTGCTCTGAGCTGGCCACTCTCCCAGGGCAGGTGGAAGAGGACACTGGGAGCCACACAAAATGTTGGACACCCACGTGCACTGTCTGTCCTCTTGCTCTCATCCTGGTCTTGGGTTTTGTCATCCTTGACTGTCACAAACCAGAGCTGACCTCTGAGGAGCAAGGGCCACCCAGGGAGTCCCAAACCAGGCTCTCTCTATCCTCAACTGGACAGTGTCTGGGTCTGTTCTCCTGGGCTGAGTGGTCAAGCTCTTTGTGTGGTGCTTCTGGCCCAAGTCCATCTGCTCTGTGCCCCCATCCCTCCAGGGGATCATGCAGGAGGTGAATGAGCTGCTGGAGACCCCTGGGGACCTGGAGAACCTGCCCCCCTCACAGAAGCACTGTGTGGCCACTCACCTGCTGACAGGCCTGGAGAGTGCCCTGAGACACCTGAGCAGGGGTCTGCCTGAGGGGACAGCAACCTTCAATTATTCTGCAGGCACACGTAAGTCCCTGGGTCTACACCAGCCCCTGTTCCTAGCCTCATCCTCTTCTGATCCCACTAGAGCTGAGTGGCCACACTGTACCTCAGTGACTCACATAAATAATCACAACCGTTAAAAAGGCAGAAAACCAAAACTAGTACACATTTAGGTAGCAAAATAGAAACAGATTCAGACAACTAATATGGAAGAATACAAATGAATCTTTTTTAAGTATGCTTTGTTTCATTGTGGTAAAATTCACATAACATAAAATTCACCAAAAAATAAATATGAAAATAAAATCCACCAGTTCTACATTTCAGTGGAATCAAGAACATTCACAAACTGATGCAGCCATCACCTTCATTTCTAAGACATTTTTCTCCAAAATTAAACACAGTGCCTCCTCGGCTATCATTCCTCATTCCCACCACCCAACCCTGGCATCCACTCACCTGCTTGCTGTCTTAATGGAGCTGCCTATTCCACCATTTAGTAAAAAGCAATCATACAAAGTGTGACCTGTCCGTCTAGCTTCTTCCACCTAGAATAATGCTGTTGAGCATGGCATAGCATCATTCCATCCCTTTTTGTGGCTGAATATTATTCCATCCTATGTGTGTTGAGTTGACCCACTCAGCCACTGATGATCATTTGGGTTGGTTTCACCATTTGGCTATTGTGAATAGTGCTGCTAAGATATTGATGTATAAGTGTTTGTTTGAATAACTATTTGCAGTTCTTGGGTATCTACTGAGAAGTAGACTTGCTAGGTACCATGGTAGTTCTGTGTTCAATTTTGGGGGAAACCACCAGATGGTTTGCAAAGTCGCTGCACTATTGTATATTACACCAGAGGGGTGCAAGAGTCCCCTCTCCAAGGCCTTGACAAAAAGTGTTACTTCCATCATGTTTAGTTTTATCAAGGCCTTTCTATTGTATGTGAGGCGATGTCTCATTGCCGGTTTGAGTTGCATCTCCCTGTTGATGGGTGATGGTTGGCAACTTTTCATGTGCCTCTGGGCCATTTGTGTATCTTTTTGGAGAAATATCTATTCAGATCATTTGTGCATTTGTGATTGGGTTGGTCCTTTGGTTGTTGAGTTGTAAGAGCTTTTCATCTATTTTGACAGGAGACCATTATGAGATGTGCAACTTGGAAATGCTTTCTCCATCTTATGGATTATCTTTTCACATCTGTGATAATTGTTTCACTTTAATGTCAGATGTTTTCAATTTTGAGGACGTCTACTTTATCTACTTTCTCCTTCATTGCTGTACATTCAGCATCATATCTAACAATCTACTGCCAAATTCAAGGTCCTCTTATGGGCTTCAGTTCTTAGATTGAGGCCTTTGTTCTATTTTGAGTTAACCTGTGTGTGTGGTGTGAGGTTGGGGTCCACTTCCTTCTTTTTCCTTGGAGACTATTCTTATGCCCACTGAATAGTCTTGGTCCCTGGTTGAAAGGCACTTGACAGTAGGTTTATTTCTGGGCTCAACTTTCCCTCTGTCTTCATGCCAGTACCATGCTGCTTTGCTCTCTGCTCATTTGCCGTGAATTCTGAAATCAGGAAGTGTGAGTCCTCCACCTTTGTTGCTCTTTTCAGCCATGCTTTAACTACCTGGATCTCTTGCAATGCTGTGTTAATTTTAAGGTGAGTTTTCCATTTAAGCAAATTATAATGTTAATAGGCTGTTGGGACATTGATAGGATGACATTGACCCTGTAGATCTCTTTGGAGACTGTCTCCATCTTACCAATATAATGCTTCCCAATCCATGAACATGAGGTGCCTTTCCCTTCATTTAGGGTCTCCTTTCAAAATCTTTAATAGTTCTCTATGTACAAGTCCTGAGTTTCTTAGTGAAATTGATTCCTAATATTTGGTTACAGATTATTGTATCTGTGTTCATAAGCAATAAAGTCTCTTCTTGTGATGTCTTTATCTGGTTTGAGCATCAGAGTAATATTGGCCTTCAGGAATTATCAGGTGGTGTCCCTCTTCTGTTATTTGAAAGAGTTTAAAACTAATTCATGTTCATTCTTCCCTATATGGTTGGTAAATTTCACAATCAAGACCATCTGATCTCAGATGTTCATTTAGGAGGTTTTTCATTTTTGCTTCAATCCCTTTACCCATGATAGGTCTCTTAAGATTTTCTACTTCTTCTTGAGTCAGTTTTAGTAGTTTCTATGTCCCTAAGAATTTCATCTAACTTTTCTAATTTGTTGGTGCAAAATTGCTCCTACTGTTACAATTCTTCATAACTTCAGATTTCATATACATGTGTGTATGCACTCATGTATACACTATATATATATATATATATATATATATATATATACACATATATAGGAAATTTGGGTTACAAACAATTATATACATATATGTGTGTCTTTATATACACTTGAATATATGTGTGACTATAAGAAAGGGAAATTAAACAAATACATGTATATAATGTGACGTGTACATATACAATATTCACATATACACATGTATATTCTTAAAAAATCTCTTCTTATTCCCACAATTCATAGAACTGTCCGTAGAGGTGCAGAAGCGACGAGATGGCAATGTCACCTTGAGTCTGAATCAGGCAAAGATGCAGCTGAACTGGAATCTGGCACAGGAATCTGCTCACAGAGGTAACATCAGAGATGAGGAGAAGGTGGAGATGTCTACCTTACAACAGTACCATGTTGTTTGGAAAAAGGTTGGAAAAAGATGCCCAAAATACAGAATTCAAGCTTAAAGGATGATGTGGGTGGGAAGAGGTCACTAGAAGAGCGTCCAAAGGGGAGGTTCTGGGGAGTGATGGGGCCACATTCTGTTGTGTGCACATGTGAATGTGGAGCAGCAAGTCCCGCTATTATGTATCATTATAATACAACAATTCAAAAGGAGGAGAGGCCATCTAAGGAGGAGGCCCTGGTGGAGACCCTAAGACTCACCCATGGCCTCGTCCTGCAGGCCTTTCTATGGTGGGCTTGGTCTCCACCCCAGGGATGGGCAAGTTGCTGGCCGAGGCTCCCCTGGTCCTGGAGCCTGAGAAGCAGGTGGCTCCCCATGGAACACACAAGGACTCGCTGCTGACAGTCTCACCTGTCCTGCTCTCAGAAGTCATCTCAGTCTTTTTGAGCAGAAAGGACACCCAGAACCTCAGCTCGCCAGTTACCTTCACCTTCTCCCACAATGTGAGTGTGGGGGTGTGGGAAGAGCCCCAGACCCAGGCACACCTTTGTTGTCTAACTTAACCTTGAGGTTCAGTGGGACTCCTTACAGGTGCCCCCCATCCAGGAAATTCAGCCCTTCCCACGCCAGCTATAAGGGGTCAGTATCTCCAGGCACAAAAATACCAGCTCACACCTCTGTTCTGTTCCTACAGCTGGTGACCTCTGAGCCAAAGCGTGAAGTGCTCTGTGTCTTTTGGGACCATGGCCAGAATGGATGTGGTCACTGGGCCACTGCAGGCTGCAAAACATTGGGCACCAGAGATGGCAGCACCACCTGCCGCTGTACCCACCTCAGCAGTCATGCAATCCTCATGGCCAGCTACAACGTGCAGGTGAGAGGCTGCCTTCATCATTGACTGCTGCAAAACAGATTTATGCAAATGTTGCTGCTTAAGTAAAACAAATTTGTTACCTCACATTTCTGTGGGTCAGCAACCCAGCACAGGGGGGATAGGTTCTTTGCACATGGTCTTACAAGGCTGAGATGATCACATTGGCCAGGGCTTCAGACTCACCTGGGACTCACGGCCCTCCTCCCATCTCCCTGGTTTCAGGCAGAATACAGTTCCCTTCTCTTAGCAGCTTTCAGCAGGGGACCATACTCCCTTCCTAAGAGCCACCCACATTTCTTCTCATATGACCTCTTGTAGGCCTTCTTCACCAGTCCTCTGCCCCCTGAAGTCAACAGCAAGGTGAGTTTCCCCAGCCAGGACTGGGAGGTGGGAATCCCTTGCATGGCCCAGCATCCACCCCTTGGCCCTGAGATTCCCATCCACCCATGACCCCTCATCTCACCTCCCCAGAGTCTCTCCCACTTCTTTGACAAAGTCAACAATCTGCACAGGGATTTCAAGGCAGTTGTGGCCAAGGACACCATCCAGGTAAGGGCAGGATCCAGGGGAAGCAGGGGAGACCTCCCATAGAGGGAGGGGGGGAAGCTGTGGTCTGGGGAAAGGGGAACAGGCCCAAGCACAGTGGGGTCCTGCTCTGAGCTGGCCACTCTCCCAGGGCAGGTGGAAGAGGACACTGGGAGCCACACACACTGTTGGACGCCCAAGGGCACTGTCTGTCCTCTTGCTCTCATCCTGGTCTTTGTCATCCTGACAGTCATGAACCAGGGCTGACCTCTGAGGAGCAAGGGCCACCCAGGGAGTCCCAAACCATGCTCTCTCTATCCCCAACTGGACAGTGTCTGGGTCTGCTCTCTGGGGCTGAGTGGTCAAGCTCTTTGTGTGGTCCTTCTGGCCCAGTTCCACCTGCTCTGTGCCCCCATCCCTACAGGGGCTAATGCAGGAGGTGGATGAGCTGCTGGAGACCCCTGGGGACCTGGAGACCCTGCCCCCCTCACAGAAGCACTGCGTGGCCACTCACCTGCTGACAGGCCTGGAGAGTGCCCTGACACACTTGAGCAGGGTTCTGCCTGAGGGGACATCAACCTTCAATTATTCTGCAGGCACACGTAAGTCCCTGGGTCTGCACCAGCCCCTGTTCCTAGCCTCATCCTCTTCTGATCCCACTAGAGCTGAGTGGCCACACTGTACCTCAGCATGACTCACATAAATAATCAACAGTTAAAAAGGCAGAAAATCAAAACTAGTACACATTTAGGTAGCAAAATAGAAACAGATTCAAAAAACTAATATGGAAGAATACAAATGAATCTTTTTTAAGTATGCTTTGTTTCATTGTGGTAAAATTCACATCACATAAAATTCACCATTTAAGTTCACCACTTATCATTCACCAAAGATAAAATATATAAATAAAATCCACCAGTTTGACATTTCAGTGGAATCAAGAACATTCACAAACTGATGCAGCCATCTCCTTCATTTCTAAGACATTTTTCTCCAAAATCAAACACAGTGCCTCCTCAGCTTTCATCCCTCATTCCTCCCCTCCCCCAAACTTGGCATCCACTCACCTGCTTGTAGTCTTAAAGTAGCTGCCTATTCTACCACTTAGTAAAAAGCAATCATACAAAGTGTGAACTGTCCGTCTATCTTCTTTCATCTAGAATAATGCTTTTGTAACCAGAGTTTAGAAAGAATTCATGTTCATTCTTCCCTATATGATTAGTGAAATTCAGCCATATGGAATTGGTGAAAATCTGATCTCTCATGTTTATTTAGAAGATTTTTCATTATTGATTCAATCTCTTTACCCATTATTGGTCTCTTCAATTTTTCCACTTCTTCTTGAGTCAGTTTTGGTAGTTTCTATGACCCTCAGAATGTGTCCATTTCATCTCAGTTATCTAATATGTTGGTGCACAATTGCACTTACTGTTACAATTCTTCATAACTTCAGATTTCATATACATGTATGTATGTATGCACACATATGTATACACAACACATACATACATTACATATAAAATCTGGAATTACAAAGGATTATATACATATATGTATGTGTACACATATGTGTCTATATAACACACATATATATGTGTGTGGTTATAGTAAACTGGAAGTTACACATAGGTCCTTGATATATGTGAGATATATATAATACAATTGTATATATTGTACATATACAATATCCACATATACACACATATATATATTCCTAACATAACTCTTCTTCTTCCTGTGACTCATAGAACTGTCCCTAGAGGTACAGAAGCAAGGAGTTTGCAATGTCACCTTGAGTCTGAATCAGGCAAAGATGCAGCTGAACTGGAATCTGGCACAGGAATCTTGTTACACAGGTAACATCTGAGATGGGGAGAAGGTGGAATGTCCACCTTACACCAGTACCATCCTGTTTGGAAGAGACCTCAGGGTGGGAAAAGATGTACAAGGATGTGAAAAAATACAGAATTAAAGACTAAAGGGTGATGTGGGTGGGAAGAGGTCACTAGAAGAGCGTCCAAAGGGGAGGTTCTGGGGGGTGATGGGGCCACATTCTGCTGTGTGCACGTGTGAATGTGGAGCAGCAAGTCCCACTATTATGTATCATTATAATACAACAATTCAAAAGGAGGAGAGGCCATCTAAGGAGGCCTGGAGGAGACCCTGAGACTCACCCATGGCCTCGTCCTGCAGGCCCTTCTGTGGTGGGCTTGGTCTCCACCCCAGGGATGGACAAGCTGCTGGCTGAGGCTCCCCTGCTCCTGGAGCCTGAGAAGAAGGTGGCTCCCCATGGGACACACAAGGACTTTCTGCCAAGAGTCTCTCCTGTCCTGCTCTCAGATGTCGTCTCAGCCTTTTTGAGCAGCAATGACACCCAGAACCTCAGCTCGCCAGTTACCTTCACCTTCTCCCATCCTGTGAGTGGGGGGTGGGGAACCACGGTGTGGGAAGAGCCCAAGGCCCAGGCACATCTTTGTTGTCCTCTTAAACTTGAGGTTCAGGTGCACTCCACACAGGAAAGCCAACCCTTCCTGGGTCAGCATCTCTGAGCGCAGGAAGACCAGCTTGCACCCCTGTCCTGTTACTACAGCTGGTGACACCTACACCACGGCACAAGGTGCTCTGTGTCTCCTGGGACCACAGCCAGAATGGGAGTCACTGGACCACTGCAGGCTGCAGGACAGTGAGCACCAGAGGTGGCAGCACCACCTGCCACTGTACCCACCTCAGCAGCTTTGCCGTCCTCATGGCCCACTACCACGTGCAGGTGAGAGGCTGCCTTCAGCATTGATTGCTGCAAAACACACTTATGCAAATGTCACTGCTGAAGTAAAACAAATTTGTTCCCTCGTGGTTTCTGTGGGTCAGCAACCCAGCACAGGGGGATGAGTTCCTTGTACAGGTTCTAAAAGACTGACAAGATCACATCAGCCAGGTCTGCAGTCTCTCCTGGGTCTTGCAGCCCTCCTCCAGCTCCCTGGTTGCAGGCAGAGTTCAATTCCCTTATCTTAGCAGCTGTCAGGGGGGACCACACTCAGTTCCTAAGAGCCACCCACATTTCCTCTCCTGTGACCCTTGGTTGGTCTTCTCACAAAACACCAGTGTTCCTATCTGAAAACCAGCATGAAAATGTATAGAATCCCTCTCAAGTTTTGAATCTGTTTTCCCAGGAAGAGTCCAGATCTTTGAAGCAATCACCTGATCACACCAAAGCAGAATAAACTCCCTAATCTAAAAGTCAACAGATTGAGTCCTAAATTCCACCTGCAAAATCCCTCTACAGCAACACCTAGATTATCAGAAAACTGAATAATTAGAAGAAGGTTTGTGTAACAGCAGGGGGTGGACATATGAAGACCAAGTTAGAATTCTATTTACCACCAGGGTCTGTAAGACAACCGTAGTCAGGGTTTCAGATTTACAAAAAAAAGAAGGTCTGGTGAAGTTGAGGTGAGAGGGGGTCAGAAGAGTCAGGGAGAATAGCTGAACCAGGGGCTATTTACCTCCTCCTCTAGCCAGGTGAGTGGATACTTCTGCTTCCCCAGGTTCAGACTCTCAAATGAGCCCACTTATGGGCATTCACTGTGAGCACCCTGTGACCATGAGCATGACAAGGATCTCAGCCAAGAGCTTTTTATATATTATGGAAATTAGATTTTGTCTTTACATCAGAAGTTCTCAAAATTCATCACATGTTAATATCACTTGGAGGACTGTTTATTTTAAGTGCTTTCTTAGGAAACAATTTCTATTTTTTAGATATGTTTCAAGAACAAAAAAAGATCAGATACTTGGTTAAAGGAAGAAAGTTAATTATGGTGGTAACTTAAAATTTACACTTTCCCACCTATTTCTCCAAGTCCTCTTAAAACCATGAGGAAATGAAAAAAAACCCACCAACCCATTACTCTTTACTCAGAGGCATCTATTTTGAAAGTTTTGCCTCTGTTTCATTTATCAGGTGTCATTCTTTCCCTCTGCTCCTCCTCTGTCCTGCCTCCTAATTTCCCAATTTTGTCTTTACACCAGAGTCTCAAATGTAGCTTGCACAAATGTCACCTGCAGGGTTTGAACTTTGTTTTCAAACATTTTCTTGGGAAACCATTTCAAATTTACAGATAAGTTGCAAAAACAAAATCCACACAAACAACATCTGTGTGCACTTCATCCAGATGTGCCTGCTTTGAAATTTTGCCTTCATTATTTACCATTTGAACATTTCCCCTCCCTCTTTCCTCTTCTCTCCTCTTCCCCTCAATTACATTGAAATAGAATTGACGGTGGGCTTTTAAATGTCCTTATGGCTTTAAGTTGACTTTCAGAAACAAGTGGGGGAAAAGTGAATTTTAAGCTACTGTTGTCATTCATTTTATTTTTTTAACCAAGTATCTAATTCTAACTACACAGGGACTTGTGGCCAGTAAGAAACAGGCAGAGCTGGACTGAGGCCAGGGGTGTCTGGGATGGGAGGTTAACGCCTGGACACTGAGGTTCAGGTTCTGCCCTGTAGCCTCGTGGGACCGGGACAGAGGGACCCTCAGCATGGGCTTCACACACACTCGCTCACATATCAACCAACGCCTTACTGTGCCCCAAAGTCAGGAATCCCGAGTCTCCTCCTTGAGTAAGAACTCCACACATCCCGGCCCTCTAGCCGCTTACCTGCTCCATTCAAAAAACCTAACAGTCCAACCTTCTCAACCTGGAGCCCCTCCCCCATCAGCTTCACACCTGGACCCAGTCCCTCCATCCTGAATCTGCTGCACCAAATGACAGATAGCGGAGGGGTTCCTACCCCACGGCCCGGCACGTGGCTGTGAAGGCTCCTCCCTCTGCCCCAGGACGACGACCCAGTGCTGAGCCTCATCACGTGCTTGGGGCTGGGCGTGTCGCTGCTGTGCCTGGTCCTGGCGAACCTCACCTTCCTCCTGTGCAGAGCCATCCAGAACACCAGCACCTCCCTGCACCTGCAGCTCTCGCTCTGCCTCCTGCTGGCCCACCTGCTGTTCCTCACGGCCATCGACAGAACCCAGCCCAAGGTACCCAGGTGTCCCCACCCCGCCCGCCCAGGGGTGCTGAACTCAGGAGCCAGGCTGCCCGGCTCCTAATCAAACAGCCTGGGCCCCGGGGAAGTCCAGAGGAGGTCGATGCCCATTTCACGTTGACGGTTTCAACAACAAAAGGAATCCTCTGGAAAACCCCATCAGCTACATCTCTTGTTGCTTAGCAACAGGCTTGCATCCTGGGGAAGTTCCTTCATTAGGGAACCCGGTAGGGAGAACTGACGTAAACTCTAGATGGCATCCGTCAATCACCGGACGTGGCTCCTGATGCAATCAGGAGACATGAAGGAGGCGACTGGGCTGGAGTCACGTGGCACCCCGTTTTACAGCAGACATTTTTTACCAGGAGAAAAAGGAGGTTATTTGGTTTATCGAGTTTTCAGAATTTCTATTTGATTTTAGAATTTCTATTTGGTTCATTTTTAGATTCTGGCTTTACTGAAATGATCTTCCACTTCCTGTATCTTCTCCAAATTCATTCTTTACATCTTCTTTTAGCTCGTTCAACATTGTAACTAGGAGCTTTCTAAATTCTTCTCCAACACTTCCTCTGCTGTTGTGCCTACAGAGTCGGTTGTTGGAGTGCTGTGGGCTGTGTGGTTTGCTCCCTTGCTCTTTCCTGCTGCTTCTACCTCTGCCCACCTTCTGGGTTGATTATCTTTTCTGCTTTGATTCAAGGAATTACTTAATGAGCTTCTGTCTCTTAAGAGCCCAGGGATGGGTGAATATCCAGCTACTGATACTGTCATTCAGTGTGCACCCTGAGCTGTGCCCAGGATCAGCACCATTTGGAGAGAAGATTCTAAACCCTGTGAACTACAGTCACTTCTAAAATAATGTGAAAAGCATAGTGCAGTAAATGCATAAGCCGCCACATGATCATTGGATGCCATTTGTAAGTAGTAGGTCCTGCCTGTCATTGTGTGGCCCTGCTGTTCAGTAACCAGCATTGCAGGGGGTTTGTGCACAAGAGCATCACCACTACTGCATGAGGAACTCCCCAGGGCAGGACTGGGACATTATCATGTCATCATTAAGGCATGAGGAATGACTTAGGGCAGCCCTGGGAGGTTGTGATGTCACCACTACTGCATGAGGAACTCCACTGGGCAGCCCTGGGAGGCTGTGAAGTCACTGGGCAGCAGGCCCTTTCCAGCTCTGCTGTGAACTATAGGAGCACAAATGCAGCCAGTGGCTAAGCACCACAGTGCAGCGCCTGGTGCACAGCACAATCCCCCACCACAGGGCTCAGGCAGCATCCCAGGCCACACCCAGACACTGATTGTGCCCCTGGGTCTCTCTCCTCCCCAGGTGCTGTGCGCAGTCACCGCGGGCGCCCTGCACTACCTCTACCTGGCCTCCTTCACCTGGATGCTGCTGGAGGGGCTGTTCCTCTTCCTCACCGCACGGAACCTGACTGTGCTCAGTTCCTCCAGCAGAAACAGGCTCATGAGGAGGCTCATGTTCCCTGTGGGCTACGGGGTCCCGGCTGCCATTGTGGCTGTGTCTGCAGTAGCCAGACCTCACCTGTATGGCACCTCTACTCGGTAAATGCGGACTCCACTTGTCCTTCTCCTCTGGAGCATGTCCACGGCCATCACTTGAACCAAAGTAGCCTTTTGAGTATTTCAGAGTTTAAGCAGTAGAGTGTACTGTGACATATCACACTTACAGGGAGTCTGGCTTCCCGTCCTTCTGGTTATGCATGGTGTGGAGTGACTCTGGTCGTGGAGTCCCACATGAACACAGCAAAGTGATGTTTCTCTTTCTCTTGCTCAGCTGCTGGCTCCGTCCAGAGCAGGGGTTTGTGTGGGGCTTCCTTGGACCTGTCTGTGCCATCTCTTCCGTGAGTAATGTCATCAGAGTTCCTTCCTGTCCATCTGAGGGTCAGTAGAAGTGCAGGATATTAAGGATGGTGACAGAACAGGAATATTCCTGGATTGTTATGGGTTGCATTGGGTTTTCCAAGACTTCTACATCTACAAATTCTAACACTATTGTCAAAATACTAAAACCCACTCCGGTATAGAATTGATGCTGCAAGGGCTAGAATTCACAGATAGCAGATTTAAATTTTATTCAGTAAAACTTTGCCATGGGGGATGTGGGTGTAGCTCAAGGGCAGAGAGCTTGCCTGGCATGCTCTAGGGTCTGGGTTCCCTCCCCAGAACTGCAAAAGAGAAAAGAAAATATTACAAAACCTCCTGCGGTCTCTTTTGGGGGGTTTGTTTTAGTTATACGAGAAGGTAGAATCCATTCTGATACAATTACACAAGCATGGAATATACCTTATCTAGCTAGGAGCCCATTCTCATGAATGTACATGATGGTGGGATTCATGGTGATATTGTCATATATGTACACAGGAAAATTATGTCAGATTCATGCTGCTGTCTTTCCTTTGCTTCTTCATTTCTTGCAGGTCAATATGGTTTTCTTCCTGATGACCCTCTGTATTGTGAAGAGCAAGCTGTCCTCCATCAACAGAGATGTGTCCACCCTCCAGAACACGAGGTGAGATGGACCAGGGGACGTAGATGACAATGATGCCCAAGAGCAGAGCCATGTGCCTGAACAGCCCCTCATGTCTCTCCTCTGGGGCTTCTGAGTGGCCCACAATTAACAAATGCAGCTGTGCTTCTATGGCTGCCATCTCAGACTCAGGGCTCTGCTGCTTACTCCAGTTCAATCCTCCAGGGGGCAGGGTTGTTCCTTCACTCAGCATCTTGTGGAAAATTCATGCTCTTTCTTCTGGGTTCCTCTGATTAAGCTTTCAAATTTTTTCATATCATCATTTAGTTGTATTAGACACTTGAACAGAGCATACGATTAATGAAAACAGAAATTTTGCCCTGTATTTGTTTCTGAGATACGATCTCACTATGTTTCCCAGGCTGGCCTCCAATTCCTGGGCTCAACTAATCCTCTTGCCTCAGCCTCCTGAGTAGCTGGGGCAACAGGTGTGCACCCCTGCCCCCAGCTTCTCTTTGTGATTTTTTATGTCCAAGCCCTAGCACGGGGCATCCTCAGTAATGCTGGATTAATGAAATTAGGGATCTTCATGGAACATCGTGAAACTCTTTGAAGTAAGCTTATGAATTATCACTGTCCTGGGTCCAAGACAAAAAGCTATCCTGGACCCAAAATGACATTTCTACTGTCGGGTATCATTGAGAGTAAACATCAGAGTTCAGTCAAATAAATCGCTTACAGGGAATAGTAGGTGCATCCATGGGTGGAGAGGTTAATAGCCTGATTTTGTTGTGGGTGCATTATAAGCCTCCACTCTCCCCCAACCTAGGGTGCTGACATTTAAAGCAATGGCTCATCTCTTCATCTTGGGCTGCACCTGGTGTCTGGGTGTCCTGCAGGTGGGCTCCCTGGCCCCCGTCATGGCCTACCTCTTCACCATCGTCAACAGCCTGCAGGGCGTCTTCATCTTCCTGGTGTACTGCCTCCTCAGCCAACAGGTACCCCTGCCCAGCTCCCACCCATGCCTCCCACCCGCACCCCTCTTTGTGAGCTGACCCAAAGTGTGGGTTGCCTCTGCAGGTCCAGGAGCAGTACAGGACATGGCTCAAGAGGATCAGGAAATGGACAACTGAATCTGAGTCCTACACTCTGTCTAGCAAGGCTGTGTCCGACACCTCCAGACCCAGCACGGTAGGGTCACTCCCTGCTCCCAGAGCACACGTTCCCTGGTATTGGCAGGATTTTCTCCTCCTGTCCACAGACCATGCTTCCCCTGCCTCATGGACTCCACCATCATGCCTGCCTGTGCGCTGACCTTACATGGTTCTGTCTCCCTCCCTCCCACCCACCTCCTTCCCTCTTATTATCTTTGTGTCTCTACCCTTATCTGAGTCTCCTAAAGACCCTGGTGATGACCTTAGGCTCACCTGGACAATCCAGGACGATTTTCTCATCTCAAGATGCTTAACATGCATGATCTCACTGATGCTGAAAAGCAATCATTGATCTCATAGAAACAAAGAGCAGAACAGTGGTTCCCAGAGGATGGGGAGGAGGGGGTGGGAAAAGCTTGATCAGTGGGTACTAAGTTACAGTCAGGAGAAAGAAGCTCTGTGGTGTGTTGCACAGTAGGTCACTAGACCACAAAGTGCACTGTGCCTTTCCAACAGCTCTGAGGGGCTGGGGGCCACTCAGTGGGAGGCCCTTGCCTGGCAAGTGCAAGGCCCCGGGCTCCATCCCAGCACCACATTTCCTTAAAAGCCAGAAGAAAGGATTTTGAGATTTTACCACAAATAACTAATGCATGTTAGAGGAGATAGTGTGATGTAAACACACTGTAGACAGGCAGGAAAACATCCCATTATACCATTAATATGTGCCATCTAAATAGATTTAATGTAAAATTAGATTTTTTAATCTTTAACATATCCTACTTGAAAAGTTCCTTTTCCAGGCATGGTGACACTCACAGGCTTTGGGATTAGGGTGTGGACATCAGTGGGTCATTATTTTGTCTATCACACCAATTACGTAGGTTGGCTTTCTCTCTCAAGCCGTCAAAATCTGCTTCATGTTGTAGATAATTGAATAGATTCACCACCCCCTCCCTCCACCACAGCCCTAGGAATGCTGTACACATTGAGGAAAAGAAATGTCAACTTTTTGTCGAAAAAAGAGGAAGCCATCAGATGGGGAAATTCAGGTGTTGCTACCATCTTGGGCACTGGACCGCTGTGTTAGTTCCCTGATGACATTTTATCTTCCAGTGTCTCCTTAAACTGGGCATCTCCAGGGTTTGAGTTGTTGGAGTATCTTCCTCTCATTTTGGAATCCCTTCCTTGGATCATTTTAAAAAAACAAAACATTTGTCTTGTAATCAGTTCTGAATAATTTTCTGAAGCACAGCATTCATAAGGCTCGAGTGAGGTTGCCCATCTAAATCAGTAGAAGTGTGCTGAGCTTCCACAGATGCAGGAATAAATAACTCCCTGGGGACGGGGAAGATATGGAAAGAGAGAATTCAACACTCTTTCCTTTAATAGTAGGTGATGGGCAATAGATAACAATGGCAGCCTTTCCTTAATGTTCTTCCTGCTCTCAGACAGAAGCCAACACACACCCTAGAGTGGGGAGATCAGATCCATCTTTTTTTTTTTTTGGCAGAGAGGTACCAGGGATTGAACTCAGGGGCACTCCACCACTGACCCACATCCCACCCCTACACTGTATTTTATTTAGAGACAGGGTCTCACTGAGTTGCTTAGTGCCTCACGGTTGCTGAGAATGGCTTTGAGCTCATGATCCTCCTGCCTCGGCCTCTCAAGCTGCTGGGATTACAGTCAGGGACCACTATACCTGGTTCAGATCCATCTTTTGAAAGATACATTTTTTGTGTGTTTTGCAGCACATTTACCTGCTCTTATCTTCTGTAACTTAAGGGTTAGGAGATGTAGGAAGATGAGACTTCTGAGAAAGACCAAAATCAACAAAATTAAATCCAATGTAGCCTGTTGGTCAAGCCCTAAGAAATCCATCAGGCAAGACCATTTTGTGATTGAAATCTTCATTTGAAGTGTGTGTGTGTGTGTGTGTGTGTGTGTGTGTGAGAGAGAGAGAGAGAGAGAGAGAGAGAGAGAGAGAGATTAAACCCCACAGACATATATGATTATTATTTGCTGACTAAACATTTCAAAAACTAGGGAGCAGGATGGTGGCTAAGATCTGCCAGTGGTCATCCCCCAGGCACAACAGATTTAACAGATATAATTTAAAAATTCCCTGTGTATATTTGAGGTGTGCCACGTGAATATAGGATACATACAGAAAATAAAATGGTTACTGTAATAAGGAAATTTAACTTATCCATAATCTCATAATCCTTTTTTTAAACCAAGCAACTAAAATCTATTTATATAACAAATTTCTTCTTTCCTTTTTTAAATGGAATTTGTAAGTTACTTTTCTACAATCTTATATGTCATTTTTAAATAATTACCATTCCAGACTGATTAGAAAGACCGTCTGAGCTACAGCCTCCTTCCCTATGGATAATCTGAACTGCCACTGGGTCACTTTTGAGCCATTAGGATAGGACAAAGCTCTGTGCTGTGTGTTACAAGAAATCCAAGGTGATGGCCATCTGAAGGGATTCTTGGAGGTCATGATTGGCATTCAACTCCTGCAGAACCTGAAATGTGTCCATGCCTGACATGGTGCTGACCGAACTCAACATCCAGATGCCATCTGCACCCCAATTCCTCAGTTTCTCTGTTAAACGTTCTTCTACTGCCCCCCTTCCTATGAGGCCTCTTCCATGCAAAACTTCTAGAAGCAAGAAAACCAGCCTCCCAGGATGCTCACATCCACAACATTTAAAAGGACTTGAATGTGCTTTAAACTTTTTAACAAAAAAAAGAAGAAAACATAAAAGGTTTGTATGGAAATATTGTGGTGTCTGCAAGGAAGATGGCAGGCCCTATGTGGGATTTGGATTTTTCAGGAAGTGGAAGGCTCCCAAGAATGCTGTATTCCACTTAAATCTTTCATAGTGGTGAAGTCGTGGCCAAATTGCCAAGAAAATAGATCCCCAGATAATGTCATGACAGATGTGTTAGTGAAATCAGGAGGAGGAGATAAGACTGAGCTGACAGGGAGATGGGCCTGGGTCACTTCCTGGGCAGTGAGTACAAACAGCACCTGCAGATATTTGCTAAGAAACTTACAAAAAGGTTATTTTTAAGTCAGGACCTATATGATTCTGGTCCTTGCCTCTCCAAGGAAGAAAAAATGCCTGATGGACATTTTGACCGGACTGAATGCTGCATGGACACTGCGTGCCATGCCCAGGAGTGGATAGGGGATTGACTTCCTTAACCCTCTAGATCTATATAAACCCCTACACAATAGCCACACTTCAGTGTCCCTCTATGGGACCCCTCCCTCTTGGGGAGCTCTGCTTTCCATTAGTCTGATAAATCCTGTTACTTGCTCTCACTCTTGTGTCCATAGAAGTATTTTCTTTAAATTTAAGAGAGAAAGAACCCAACCCCATGCTCTGTGCTACATTAGTAATAATTTTGTTTTCATTCCTAAAATAATTTAAATCAGAATTTTTGCCTTAAATAAAATCCATTAAATATGTTCATCCTCCCAATTTTGTAAATAAAATGCAGATACATATTTTTCCAAATGCAAAATGTTTATCTCTGGGTCATGAGTTATTGAATGAATTTTTGCTTTTGACATTATTTAAGCCTTTAGGCAATGGGATAGATCACTTTTGCAATGGGAAAAAATAGCTAAAGGGTCTCAAGGATCATCATGCCTCTGTTCACCACAACATCACAAAGCACTGGGTAAGAAAGAGGTTAGGAAATACACAGGCAGGTTAGCATAAATACAATGTTACAGTTGTTTCTTTGGAATTCTTTAATTATACTGTTACAATAATCAGTGAAAAGGACATCAAACATGGAAATATTACATCTCCCACCAAGCCCAAGTCTGTTTACTCCCCTGCTTGAAAAGGGCCCAATGAATCAAGGGCAGTTGTTGGGGCGAGGGAAAATCATTTACTTGGTAAGTCAACAAAACTGAGCTGATGGTGGACTAGCAACCTGAAAGACTGCCTTAACTCAGCAGACACTTGAGCTCCTTTCAATCTTCAGGAAAGGGGGAAAGAAGGGGAGTTAGGATAGGAAATGACAGGTGACCACACTTCTAGACATCTCTCCAATAGCCCCATGGCTGGCCACCTGTTGATCATGGATCTCCTGTAAATCCTGAAAATGTCTTAGTTATCCTTATCTTGGTATCATCAGCCTTGAAGGGGGAAGAGAGAGATTAGGGAGGTTTCAGATAAATCATATTTGTGCTGCTAGTTTGGGTAAAACATTCCTTAAAAGATGAACACACCTACATGCAGAGTGGAGCAGAAAAAGTCTCATCAGTGGTCGGGGCAGCAAAGGGGGTGGACATAATATGGAGGCAGAGACGCTGAGGCAGTTCACAGCTGCACAGGCCCAGGAGAAGCGCTGTTGACAGAGGAGCTCAAGCCCCTAAAAGGCAGCACCAGCCACTGTTACCACACAACATGGATCATCCTCACTGACATGGTATTGAGGGGTGCCACGTGAATATAGGATACATACAGTGGAAAAAACAACTGAAGAGGGCTCTGTATGCTTCAATTTCCATGAACAGGAAGTGAAAACTTATGGTGGTAGAAGTCAGAGCAGTGGTGACCTCTGGGGACAGGGCTTACAGACTGGGTTGGTGTCCAAGGGAAACTTCTGCAGAGATGAAGCATTTACTTTTTGATGGGGTAGTAGCCAGTGTAGACACACACAAAAGTCATCAAGGTTCACACTAAGACTTATGAACTTTGGTGTAAATCATCCCTCAAATGACAGTATTATAAAACATAAAAGAACACAGTGAGAAGACACACAAATGGACACCATGCTGAGTCAGAGCACCATGGAGAAAATCTCTCCCCGTCCCTTACCCAGTGGCCTCGAGTACTCCCCTCAACTTGCTGAGCCCCAGCTTCCACGTTTGATGGGGGTGAACACAGGACCAACCTCAAGGCATCATTGAGGAGACCAAGAGCTGCAGCACCTCCGGCAGAGGCTGCAGTCTATTAACAGCAAGCTCTAAGGGTGAGTGGCTGTCGCAGGGTGGAGGCCTGAATGGCCACCCTTAAGGGAAAATGGTCAGTTTATAAAAGTAATGGCTCACTGGAAATGCACAAAATGTGAAAAGCTTTCTTTAATTCCATTGCTTCAAAATATACACATATACTTAAAAACTGATGGAATTATTCAGTTCTCCATCACCATCGTGGGAAGTATACCATACCTCTCTCAGGAAATGACTGATCAGAAATCAATATTTATAAGTGTGTGTTTACACAAATAATATGCTTGATCCAGTGGGCTACTGTAGAACTTAATACATTGATTTCAACCACCCAAGAAGTGTTTATATAAACGGACACGATGTTTGTGTCAGTTAGGGATTTGTACTCAAGTTAAATAAATAAAAGCACCCCATTCTCTCCTATTCTTTCTTCATAAACAATGTCTTATGTTAGTAAGAAATACATTCTTTTCATGTAACAAGAAATAAACAGGCCAGGGCTGGTTTCATCTGCTGGATGTGAAAACATGAGACACATGCTAACAAGTATTCTGAGAACAACCCAAATGTCTACACTTCCACACACCCTCAGCTAACAGATGAGGGGCCACTGTAGGAGTGAGATGATGACAAAGGCAAGCCACCTTTCCTGATGTTCTCTCTTCCACCGTGGGTCCTTTTGTGCATGGCAAGTGAGGAGCTGTGCCTGAAGGCTTTCTCACACTGATTGCATTGGTAGGGTCTCCCCAAGGTGTGGGTCCTCACATGCATAATGAGGTGTGAAGACTGGCCGAAGGCTCGCCCACACTCCTGGCACACATAGGGCTTCTTGCCACTGTGAGTCCTCACATGTTTCCTGAGGGACGAGGGCTTACTAAAGGCTCATCCACACTCCTGGCACTGGTAGGGCTTCTCTCCAGTGTAAGTCCGCATGTGACTCTTGAGGGTGGACAGACGACCCAAGACCTGACCGCAGGTCGCACACTCATACAGCTTCCCCACCATGTGGATTCTCTTGTGCACATTCAGGTGTGTGCTGGTCCTGAAGGGCTTCCCACACTGAGTGCACTCATAGGGTTTCTCTCTGGTGTGGGTCCGCAGGTGTGTCTTCAACGACGAGTGTTCCCTGAAGGCTTTCCCACACTGGCTGCACGCAAAGGGCTTCTCTCCAGTGTGAGTTCTCACGTGGTTCTGGAGAGATGAGGGCTGGTTGAAGGCTTTCCCACAGTCCTTGCATGCATAGGGCTTCTCTCCTGAGTGGTTTCTCTGGTGCAGAATCAGGTTGAAGTTCCTGGTGAAGGTTTTCCCACACTGACTGCATTCAAAGGGCTTCTCTCCAGTGTGAGTTCTCAGGTGTCTCCACAGATTCGAGGAATACTTGAAGGCCTGTCCACATTCTTGGCACTGGAAGAATTTCTCTGCGGTATGAGTCTTCTCGTGCCTGAGAAGGCCAGAGCTGTAGTGGAAGGACTTTTCACACTGGTCACATGCATAAGTCTTATCCATGATGTGGATTTTTTCAGGTGTGATTAGGTGAGTGTTCTGGAAGAAGGACTTCCTGCTCTCTTGACATTCATGGGGGGGATCTCTCCAGAAGGAATTGTGTGGTACTGAAAAAGTGGTCTATAATATTAAAGCATTTCCCTGGCTCATTATATTCATAGAGATCTTCTCCAGGCTGTGGTTGCTCCTGTAGGTTAAGGAAAATGTGAAGACAAAGCTTTATCACACTCAGGGATCGTGTTCCCCATGTAAGCTGAATTCAGGAGAAAGTCAGTCCTACATCTACTGAGAGTTCCCTCGAGAAGCACAGGGTGGACACTCTCCACCAGAGCTCTTTTCATTACTTTCCTGGGGCTTCTTAGATCAGAGGATTTTTGAATTGTTTAAGCAAAATTAAGTTTTGAACACCCAATACCTGCATGCAATCTGTGAAAATGATTACTGAAGAACACTCTGTGAAGATACAAGTGTTTCTTTCCAGTGCTGGGGATGGAACCCAGGGTCTCTCCAATGCTAAGTCCATGTGCTATCCTTTTCACCCTGGCACCAAGACACAAGTCTTAATCTACATTTAAGGTTTTCTCCAACTTATGACATTCACTGACTTAAGAAAAAAATGATTCCTCCTGGGAAAGCAACCTTTGCCACCAATCTCTCTCTCAGCTCTTAGGCAGATTTTCTACCCTATGGCAACCACAGACTTGTCCTACTATAGAGATCCAAGAGTAACCCCTTGTGAATCTTATCTGTTTTGTGTCAATGGAAAAAATCCGCACAGAAATATCTTGGCTAGGAATTGATTCTTAGGGTTGAAGTGGAGGTTCTGAAATGAATTAGGGAGTAAAAGAATTAAAAGTTTGATAAAGAAACTTGGGATCGACATGACCAAAAAGCATAACTATGCTAGTGTGAATTTTTTTAATACTGATCCCAAGCATAGGAAGACTATTGCAAAGAGGAAGAATGTATCAGAGAGCCAAGAAAAATTACTGAAGTCATTTGACTATGTGCATAGTTATGTAATCACAGAACAAGGGATAAGAATCTTAGACAATTTGCTGAGAAAAGATTCCATGAAGACTAGGACTGACATTGAAGGGAAATATTAGCAAGAATGTACAGTGGGGAGGTATGGATAAATACATGCATAAAAATAGTAAATATGAAGAGGAGGAGGGACAAATATTTCTGTCAAATCAGAGGAAAGTATTAAAGTTAAAAAGGAAAGGTTGATTTTCTAAAGGAGCTCAACCTAACATCCCTCTCATTCAAGGCACTGAGAATGTCCCCTGTTGACAATTTCCAACTCTTAGGCCCCTTTTGCCTCCTAGAGCTGGTGCTCACCAGGTCTGCTGAACTCACCTAAACAGGTCTCTGGGAAGACTCCTCTCTCAGGACTCCACAGCTCCACTCTTTGCTCCCAGGGGAACAACATACTGGGTTTGCCTAGTTCATCTCCTGCTTGTGGGAAAGAAGATGCCCAGCGTGGGATGACCATGTCCTACCATGATCCAGATGTAGACTGACATCCCAAAGTCCTTGAGGTTCTAGAAATTCATGCCTGAATCCTGAGGGACACAGCTAAGGTCTTTCACTAATGAACAGAATCCCAGCCTCCTCACTGGGACATAAAGGACAGGGGGATCCCTGGTCCCAAAACCAGGGACAGGTCAGAGACATATATGAGAATCCCGGAAGCTTTTAATCATGGAGAGACAAAGCAGAGGACAAATATTCGCCTCCATGGGGAGGCCACAGTAGCATCATGAGGACGTCTGGCTGCTCTGTCTGCCTCTGGATCTCCCAGACCTCTGTTCAATTTGTTGAACCCTGTTGCTTGGAAGCAATTCTATGGACTGTGGATGCATTCTCCTTGCATTTTTTGAATTTCCTAACTGACCGCTTTCTTATATTTTTCTCTAGTAATTTCAGATAGACTTCTTTACCTTTGGGAAAATACAAAGGTGAACAGAGCAGATGAAGTCTCTGCTCACCTGTATCTGGTTTTATCAGGTCATAGACTGAGAACAGAGAGATAAATATGTTCTAACACAATGCCCCCAGCCATGGGAAGGGAGCAAAAGGACAGGACTGTCATGACATGTGCATGGGTTTGTGGAGAACGGCTGGGGAGACCTCTGCTGGTTGGCTGAAGGCCAGAACCAGGGCTAGAGTGCACCTGTGGGCTTTGTTAAAAAAAAATTAACATCCAAACCCA